GCAGGGCCGGGGCCGGTGCGGGAGCGGGGCTGGTGCCGCGCCGTGCCGTCGCGGGGACCGGGACCGGGACCGGGGCCGGGGCCGGGGCCGGGCTGGGGCGGCGCAGCCCCCTGACGCTGTGATTCTCTTGCAGCGGCCAAGCACAAGCAGATCCGTCGCGGCGTGAAGGAGGTCCAGAAGTTCATCAACAAGGGCGAGAAGGGGTAAGCGCGGCCCCGCTGCCCTGGGGTGGCCCGGCCCCGGCCCCGGCCGGCCGCTGACACGGGCTTTCCCCCGCAGGATCACGGTGCTGGCCGGCGACACGCTGCCTATCGATGTGTACTGCCACATCCCCATCATGTGCGAGGACAGGAGCCTCCCCTACGCGTACGTCCCTTCCAAATCGGTAAGGGTCGGGGCTGCGCAGCCGGGAGGAGCCAGCCCTGGTGAGAGGGAGCCCGGCGGGCAGCACCCGGGCCGGGCGGTGACCGGAGCCTTCCCTGGGAGGCGCAAATCTGGTGCCTGAGTTAAAGCACCCAGCGCTTCTCCACGGCCAGGGCACAAGAGCGGTCATGGTGCAGGTGTAGGAGCGTTTCACTCTGGGACCACAGAATTGGTTCTCTGGGTCGAGTCCCTGCAGCGTTCTTCCCCCAAAGGGCTGTCAGGCCCTGGCCCAGGCTGCCCAGGGCAGGGGCTGAGTCCCCATCCCTGGGGGGATTTAAAAGCCGGGGAGATGTGGTGCTTGGGGACATGGTTTAGTGGTGGCCTTGGCAGTGCTGGGTTAACGGTTGGACTCGATGATCTTAAGGGTCTTTTCCAACCTAAACGATTCTGTGATTCTATAATCATTTCAATACCGCAGAGCTGCCTCTGAGTCTAAGCATAGCTGGTAAGCTCATAAAGACAGCCATCTGGGCGTAAAAACATTCACATTTGAAGGCTTTCACAAGGTCAGAGGAACACCCCTGCTTGCCTTGGGCTTGATCTCTTCCAGTTCAGTCTGGGAGAGAACTCATGAGAAGTCTGAACTGATCCAACACGCCTGATTGCCCCATAAAGCTGCGCCAGGGCAGGTTTAGGTTGGGTATTAGGAAAAACTTCTTCCCCAAAGGGCTGTCAGGCCCTGGCCCAGGCTGCCCAGGGCAGGGGCTGAGTCCCCATCCCTGGGGGGATTTAAAAGCCGGGGAGATGTGGTGCTTGGGGACACGGGTTAGCGGTGGCCTTGGCAGTGCTGGGCTTGGCAGAGCCCTGGCTGGGTGTCAGCCCTCCGCACTGGGGAGCCTGGCCCCCCGGCCTCCCCCACCACCTCCCTCTCTTCCCGCAGGACCTGGGAGCCGCGGCCGGCCCGAAGCGCCCCCC